AGTAGATGGAGAGAAGCAGCAAGAGACATGAACATCTTCTCGGGTGGAGCAGAAATAAGATGCAGCAATTTGTTGAATGGGGATAAGAGGGAGGGAGGAGACTCTAAGAGGACATGAGGACTCCAGCTTGGGAGGCTCATGTGGGTGACAGAACCACCAAAGGATGCAGAGAAAACTGAGGTGAGGAGGAAGCAGATTCCTCTTGAATCTGCTGAATTCAGGGACCTGGGGACAGCCAGTCGGTGATCTTTTCAATGTAGGCAATTTGATACAATAGATGCATTTAAGACTTGGGTGAACTGGGGAATCAGTGGGAGTTGAAAATCATAAGAGGATTGTCCCTTGTCTAAGGTGTCCTTGTCCAAGGTGGAGGGAAAAATAGTCAAGTGAGGGTTTCCCTGTGAACCCCAGCATTTGGGGCTCAGGTAGAAGGAAAAGTCCAAAAAGAGAAGGTTGAGGAGCACCAAGGAGTAGGAACATCCACAAGGTCAAGGAAGTAGAATGCCAAGGAGACAGGTGCGAGTGGCAGTTGGGACGTCCAGGAAAAGGCTGGGACTGGAGAATGGCTTTTCTGTTTGGAAACTGCACACCAGGGGACAAAAAGTTTCTGTGGAGAGATGGGGTCAGCTCTGGGCAGTGGGAAAGCCACATGCAAGTATACACGAAGTGAGTGGACATGGTGCGTGTGGACCCCACTTTGGAGAAGAAAAAGATTAACTCAACAGGACCGTGGGTGATAGGACCTAGTGAGGAGGAGGAGGCCCGGAAGGTGTTCATCACTTGGAAGAACAACTAGAATGGGGGAAACTGACACAGCAGAGAGGATTCTGGGTGGCTCCAAGAACTGTAGCAGAGAGGAAGGAGTGGGGCGTGAGAAGACTTGGGCAGGATGGAGCTCATCCGCCCAGACCAGAGGGAAGTGGGCGTAGACAGATGCAGTGCCAGGAACTTTGCTGCCACCCTGCAGCAGGCACACAATATGGCACACAGCAGTCGTGGAGCAGATTTGCAAGGCCAGAGTCTGCTATTGAGCGGAAGTCCTGATGGCAGTTGTTGAAATCCTACAGAATAGTCAAAGCTGACCATGCAACAATGGTGTGAGTAGGGTCTGGAGGGCAAGACTGGAATGGGTGACAAAGTTTTACAAGGGACAAGGAAGGGGACATTGTGACCATGTGTCAAAAGACATTGGTGTCAGCAAAGTGATGTTATCACATGCAGAGTTATCCCGAGACCACCATGGAGACAGTGATGTGATCAGGTCAATGGCGGCCAGGGCGTCCCTGGGTCTGCCTCGTGATACGGGCTGTCCTCTGTAGGGAGCCAAGGAATGCTCTGCTGGGGATTGTAGGTAGCAGATAGGGCACTGTTGCCCATGAGTGGCCAGCTCATAGGGAACCGCAGGCAGAAATGAACTTAGAGATGCCAGAGAGGTTGAGGTTATTACTTTTTTTCTTTGAATGCAACAGGTATTTTGGGTGTGTCTGTCCTTAGAGACACAGGAACTGGAAATCAGGATGGTTTGAACTAATTATCCAATAAAATGAGGCAAGCCACTGCCCAATGAAAGACAAGTCTGCAGCTTGAGCTAGTGAGTATCTGTCAGTGCATGGACCCCACAAAACAGTGTGGGTGAGCATGGTTGGGGTTCTCTTGGGCATAAGGATGAAGGCTCAGAGTCATGTGGGGTTTGGACCCTCTGGAAAACCTGATGTGCAGTAAAAATAAGACATAAGTGGTAAGGGCTCTCTCCTCACAGAACAACAGCCTTGGAGGATGGGGAGGGAAGGCGAGGTGTGTGTCAGGAATCCAGGGGCGCAGGCCAGTCCCAGACAGTTCTAGCACCACCAGCAGCCAGATGTTAAGAGAGACCCCTGAGCCAAGGTAGGTTGCTTCCACCAACACATATAAACTCCCTCTCTGGGGCCCACGGAGGTAATTTAGTATCTCTGACTCCAGAAGATTTTGCATTTATCAGCAGCAGCTGCATGGTTCCTGGGCTGTAGATCATAAATCTTGAGGTGTATTTCTCTTGAGTTGACGTCTCCTTATAAATAATATAGGAAATGCTTTTTTTCCCCTCCAGAAGACTGCTTTCATGCTCTCTTCTGTTTTTAGAGTGACCTTCTTTCTCAGCCAGGCTGGAAATGTCCAAGAGACTCATTTATTGAGCCTGTGATGTGCCAGGTATTAAGGGATAGGGTGGCATATAGGAAGCTCACTCTAAACTATTGGTCTCCAAGCAGAAAGAACTTTGGGGCATTCTGGCAGTATCTAGTCAAATTCAAAATGCAAATGTTCTTTGATAGAGAGAATCATTTGTTCATGAGCTTAAGGATATCCCCGAAGCCTTACAGGTTAATAGTAACTATCTTGGAAACAAAAGTTAAACAAGAAGACTACTGTTTAAAAAAGACATGCATAACTAAGATCTTTTGCAGAAATTTTAAAGAATGAGATAGATAGGTACTGATAGGGTCTATTATTGAGGAAAAATACATACCAATAGAGCCTATTGGTATGTATTTTTTGACAGGTACATACAGGTTTCTAAATATAATGTATATACACCAAACTGAAGATGGTAGCTGGGTTTGGGAAGGAAATTGAGATTGGCTAAGAAGAGCTAGGCTTTCTCAGTTAAGTTTAAGTTCTTGAAGGGGGTAAATATTCAAAGAAAACTAGTACAATAACAAGAGTTGGGAGTCAAGGCACAGTCCTTACTGAAAACCTGGCTACAATATTTCCTTTGACATTCTTCAGTTGCTCTCACCGGAATACTGAGAAATATCGACCAAATAATCTCAATGACCCCTTCCAATAGAGAAGCACTAGAGTATTTAAATTGTAAACATATTCTGAGGATAGAGTTCAAAATTTCCAAGGTTTAACACCATGGACTCTGGCATTCAATAGGCAGTTAATAAATGGATGGATGGTGAATGTGGAAATAGTGATCCTTACGTAGTTTTAATATTCTTTGCTAGTAAACTTCTCCAGATAGGTGACTCATCCCCTGGACAAATGTCAGAAAGGCACAGAAGTAGTTAGTATTTCTGCTATCCCTTCGAAATATAGTTAGCTATTCATTCAATAGATATTTACTGAGCACCAACTGTGTGCCTAAGAACAGTGACATGAAGAAAACACAGAGCTTATGGTGCCTTTTTGCGTCCTGTCCCACGACTGTGCTTGGTGCAGGTATCGCTGCTCTGAACGACAGCTGGACAAGCCTGTAGATGTGGAAGGGGTGAAGGCAAAGAAAGGGGGAAGAGCTTCTGGGGGGGTGCTGAGCACCCACCTGCATCATGCACAGCTTAGCTACTGTAGCGGAGATAGAAGACTATGTGTGAATCACTGTTTTCAGTCTCTGTGCCTCCTATTTCTGTTCCATAACCTCAGGGTAATGATGTCTGCTTCCTGGGGTTCTCCTGGGCATCAAATAAATAGCAACATTAATAAAGCAGCTCATTTCCTTCTTGGTGCTCTGAGTGAAGAAAAGAAGTGTGCATCTTGTCATTAACCCTGATGCCAACCCTGATCTATTCAGGGGGGAACAGGAACAGAGAAGCTAAGGGATGTGCCCAAATCTGCAGTTTCAGAGAGCAAATATAACAGCAGAATTCAGATGTTCTAACTCAGGCCCTGTACAGAAACCACCATAGTCTCTCATCTCCCACCAAGTGAGTGTCAAACAACTTAGGGTATCATTCAAGGGCTAAGCTAATATCACTGTTACTATGTAGCTTGGCTATTATGTTAATGGGTGTTCATGTGCTGCTTGACTGATCACCTCCTGCTCTGCTTCTGCGACCGTCTACGTTGGCTGGTGGAGGGAAGCAAAGGTGTTGGGTTATCAGGAGGGAAAAAACCCTTCATCATTGGGGTTCACTGAGGGCATGTTTCTACATGCAGGGCTTTGTTTTTAATTAAGAGCAGTAATCAGATAATCTTGCTTTAATTAACTCCCCAGATGCACCCCATTCTTGGAGCATCCCTTTGATATTTTCTCCATCCATTCTTTCTGCCTAAGATTATCTACAGACATGTGCCAGACATTTGCCATTTGCTGAATATGCCTGAAAGGCTAACGTGAACTTCTACCCCCTTCTTTTTGTAGAAACAACCCCCTGCTTCAGAGCAAACACGTTTCGAGACAGGAAGGGGTTGTCTGGGTCTGCTCCATTAGGCTGTGATTATTCTTTCTACTTTATCACACTGCTTCTTCTGTTATCACAGAAGCGGTGTGCATTTCATCTTAATTATGCATCTGCTTAATCCATAATTTCTGATTTATAGCCATTAGCTCCTAATTACAAGAGGGCCGCCCTTGAAAAGGGAAATCAAATGAACTGACAGAACTGGAACTGAAAAGCAAAATTTGAGTCTTACACCGAGTCAATCCTGAGACCCATTTGGCGGAGCTACCTCCTTGCAGTCCCATGGATGTTTAAGGGTCCTGTCTCAGGCTGTGACTGAGTTCGTCCCCCTTTGCAGAAGGGAAAATAGGAAGCCCTGACATTCAAACAAAGCTAGGGAGGAACCATCCAGACTATCTGTATACTTAGTCCCCATTAAAGAAATCGTCAGGAAATATTTTTATAAAGAAAAATTGAATCCAGAACTATCTATACATGAAAAACTAGTAGGATTTGCCTTAGGCAGAAGGAAACTATAACAGATTCATGGCAATTTAAAAGTTTTCAACCTGTATCATTTGAAATTACCTGGAAAACCACGCTTGGGTAGGACTGCATATGTCCTCTTTTATTTGAAGCAGCAAATGTAACTCTATTTCCTGTTTTGCGCATGAAGACGTGGAAGGTTCAGAGAGGGTAACTGATCTGCCCAAAGCCACATTAACTAGGAAGTGCCAGGGTCATGTCTCAAACTGGCCTGCTTGGCCTTGTGGAGGACAGAGGAAATGGAAGACGCAAACAGCAACCTTCAAAGCTTTTCCAGCTATTGGCTATTAAGAGGCAGACAGGACATAAGCTTACCGAGCGTTAAGGGTGTGGCTGCTGATAGCTGACTGCCGAGAAGGAGTCCTTGTGGTGTCTGTGGCCAGGGACAGAGTGCAACTCAACCAGGACTGCAGACTGCTCTCTGGCTGGGAACCGAGGCTGGAGATGTTATCTCTAGAACCAGAATGCAGGACAAAGTCAACATCACAATGACAACCACAGTGACAGGAATAACTAGACACTCACTCCTTAAGCATGAATAAGGCATTGCAAAACATGAGGTACAGGCCTGATCTCAATCAGTGCTCATAACTCCATCCCTGAGTGATGGGAGCCAGTGCTATTCCCATTAGACAAGTATTATCCCTATTATACAAAAAAGTTATAGGGTTTGAGGAGGTCAACCTGGGTCTTAGATAAGGTCATCCAGTTACATAGAGATGACATTGGGGTGCCAATCTCGATCCCTCTGATTCTTTTTATTTTTCCTACCCTTCCTGCCCTCCCCCCACCCTGATCCCTCTATTTCTAATGCCCATGCTACCAGCCACTGCACATTTGGGAATATGTACCCTCAAATACCGATGTTGGGATATCTCCAATCTTGAGTAAGGCTTGGCATTGAATATTACACCAAATGATATGTTCATCGAATATATCATGTGTGAGGGTCTTAACTCCTTGTCCAACTTAACTGAAATGTCTCTATGGACAGGGGCTTCACTTTCATACATCAATTCTAAAAATAACAAAGGACATATGGGCATGTAGTAATTATCTTCTGGCTAATATACTCACATACTGATCTGGTTGAGATATGTGTGTGTATGTTTATGTACATCTCTCTCGCTCTCAAACACACACACACACACACACATGGCTGGTTTATGTGTGTGTATGTATGCGTGTATCTCAAGTACCATGGGAAAGAACTCAAAGCATGAACCCTGCATTAACCCTGTCCTTAAGACCCCCATATCATCAGAATAAACATCTATATAAATAATCATTAAAGGAGAAAATCATTAATTCCATCATAGGGATGATGGGTAGGTTGTAAGGTGAATAAGGAACAAGACATGACTCATTTCTGAAGACATGAAAGGCAGGCATCAGGTAGTGAAAACTGAGGTACATCTTGCTGGAAGGTTAGGGGTTAGCCACGCAGAGTGAGGAGAAAGGAATCTTAGGTGGGAGTCACAGCATGTACCCAGGTACAGAGGCTACAGAAGGGCAGGGCGTGCATGGTGTGGGAAGCAGAAGCCCCCAGGTAGAGAGAGGGGTCAGAAGCACTTGACTAAATGTCTGTCTGGAAGCTGATTCTGAGGGAGCCATTGAAAGTGCTTAAGGACAGTTGCATGACAAATCACAGATGGCTCTCAGTCTAAAAGAAGTGAGACAGCTCAAAATGTTCCCAAGGGCTGGAGGATATAACCATGAAGTCAGGTCTCTTACAGACATTGCTGAGACCTCTCCAAGTGGGTGTGGATGTTCCCTTTGCAGCTGGGATGCAGAGCAGAGTGAGGGGCCTTGACGCCAGTGTGTACTTACATCTCTTTCATGCCACGGCCGCCACTGTCCACTGCAGTCTGGACACTAGGAGGAAGCACAAGAGTCTGTTACCCTACGCCGCCGGAGTAACAGCAACACATAACTGACACAAGACAATCTATTAGTTACAGGTATATGACATGATGTGTATATATTGCAAAATAATCTCTACAATGCAGATGTCTTTCTTTATACCTAGAGGATTTTAAACACCCACCCTCTAGCAACTAACAAATATGCACTACAGTATTATTAACACTAGTCACATTACATAACACTGAGCATTCCACTTCATGACTTATCTTTCGTATCTGGAGGTTTGTACCTTTTACCCCTGCTGGCTCCTTTCACCCACCCTACTTACCCTGGGCAACCACCAATCTGTTCTATGTAGCTACAAGGGTTTTTTTCTTTTTTAAGATTCCACATGCAAATGAATCATCTGGTACCTGTTTTTGTCTCTGTCTGACTGACTTCACTTAGCATAATGACCTCAAGGTCTATCCACATTGCTGCAAATCCGCAAATCACCAAGACTTCCCTCTTTTTCATGGATGAATAACATTCCTGCTGGTGTGTGTGTGTGTGTGTGTGTGTGTGTGTGTTTATCTATTCATCATCCATCAGAGAACATTAAGCTGTTTCCATATCTTGGCTATAATAAACAATGCTACAATACACATGGGGGTGAATCTAGCTTTTCGAGTTAGTGTTTTGTTTCCTTTGGATAAATACGCAGAAGTGGAATTGCTAGATCAGATGGTGCTTCTAGTTTTAGTTTTCTGAGGGAGTTCCATGCAGTTTTCCACTCTAGCTAGACCAATTTACATGCTCACCAACAATGTACTTAAGTGTCGCCTTTCCTCCACATTCTTACCAGCATTTATTTCTTGTCTTTTTGATGTCATTGTAATAGGTGTGAGGTGATTACAGTTTTGATTTTTATTTCCCTGATGATTAATGACATTGAGAAAAAATACAGTCGTTGAAGTTAGACAGATTTCTGACTTCTGCTGTTGCGTGATCTTAGACAACCGGTTGCTGACTTTCTCTGATTCCCCTTACTCCTTTGGCAGGTATGGCTAACAATGGGTCTCTGCTTCCAGAATGTTGAAACAGACTAAGTGAGATAATCTTTGTAAATATCTCAGTGTGTTTCTTAATAAACAGACAATGCTAGTGAAATGGTAACAACCATTACCTCCACTCTCTTTATACAACAAGTACCATCATTTTTAATAGCAACATTCTTGTCAACAAACAAGGCATTTACTTTATGTTCCTTTTGAGTTCCTTTTGTTTTCTTTGGAAAAATACCCAGAAGTGGAATTGCTCTAAAATGAGTTACAGCTATATGGCTGTTCTTCAGGGAGCATCCCTTTATTTTACAAAGATACTTGACACACAATGTCATCTAACCATTCCACCTGTCTCCATTGCAGAGAGGGGAACCTGACTGTTCTTGGGTTGCAAGACATGAATCCCAGGTCTGTGTGAGCTATTGGGCTCACAGAGTGTAACTACCCAGAGTACTGGTTCAGAGAGCCAAATGACAAACCTCAGATTCTAAGTCATCATCTGAATCCTTGTTCCTCAAGTCAGAACCTCCCAGCTTTATTTTCTGCTAGAATTTGGTCAACGCTTACCTTGGAAACTCGGCTGCTTCCTTCATAGAATGCACCTGTGGCTCTCTGGTCCCCACCCTCAAGGACCTGGTACCTTTGGGGCTTCCATTAGCATCTATCTGTCACCACCAGACTGAAGAGTTCTTCATAGGCCGAGCACATATCCTTACTCATCCCGTTAGCCCTAGGGATCACCCAAGGGTGCAGGCCAAACTAGAAGTTCTCTGGCAGTGTTTGGTGAGTCCAATGGAAGAGACCTATAAACTTGAGCCATGGGCCAAGTTCAAACTACAAATTTATTTCTATAAATAAAGTTTTGTTGGAATTCCACCACTCAGTCAGTTACATATTGTCTCTGACTCTATAATAGCATAGGAAGAGCGTTGCATTGGAGACGGTATGTCCCGAAAACTCTAAATTATTTTCCATTTCCAGCCTCCCTCCCTCCAATTTTCTTTTCTTTTTTTAAGATTTATTTATCTATGCATTCAAGAAGTGGGGCATAGATCAGATGTGTGGGGAGTGAGAGGACTCACCAGAGACAGAGTGGGGACAGAATAGGCGGATCCACTGAAATACACTGCTAGAGGGAGCAGCAGGCAAGACAGGAGAGGTCTTCTGCTTCATGCGGGTCAGCTCCCCTGGCTGGGGATCGAACTCATGTCTCAGTGGCTGCAGATAGCTTCATAGTGCTGAGACTTACCCCCCTGTGCCACTAGGGAGGGCCCTATTTATCCTTTTAAAGAAAAGCCTGTTGAATTCTCCAGCCAAACCAAAGCACCTTTTCTTTGGGAATAACTCTGAGAGAAGCAAAATATGACTCCCACTTCACTATCCTAATCCCTTACCCCAATATACTGTGACTTGTGTTCCCTGACATAGTGAAAAGGACTTTGAGATGTGGAGGTTATCCTGATGGTCTAGATGGGTCCAAGTTAGTCATTCCAATCCTTAAAGGCAGAGCACTTCCCTAGGTATGGTCAAAGGGAGAAGTGCCTTTTGAAGAATGGTCAGAGATACAACCTTTCTGGCTTAAATGATGGACATGGCAACAAACCAAGGTGGTCAGTATCCTCTCCAAGCTGTAAAATATGAGGAGATGGGAGGAGATGGTCTCAGAGTCCCCAAGGAACACACTCTGCCGACACCTGGATTTTCAGCACGGTGGGGTGGGGGGGATGCTGGGCTGTGGGATCTCACAGCATCTTCCAGGGTCAGGGTGCAGGGCCCAGGAGTGGGGCTTGGCCCCAGAGCTTCCTCTCCCACTCCACTCTAAAGATGGCTGCCCTCCAGCCTAAGCTAGAAATTTCTATAGGCATTTGCTTTAGGGTAAAAGAGGGGCTCTATTTAAAGGAAAAAATCGGAAACTCACTCACTCTTCCACTATGTGGAGAAAGAGTGGCTGTAAACTCCTGCGTCTCCTGTCCCCGATGAGGAAGACAAGATGAATATGACAACAATGAAGGCGATGACTGTGGGGGGCCTTGACCAGCAAGGCGAGGGGGTAGAGCCCCAGGGACAGCGCGAGGAAGAAGGCAAAAATCGGAGACACGTGCGAGTGCGCTTTATTCTTACAACAGTCATATATATATACTTGAGGACGGCACAGAAGGGACGGGCGGGGGTGGTTGGTCTTGATTGTCTGATGTCTCAAAGGGCAAATGGGGTTGAGGGGAGGGAGCCATCCTCATCTTAAGGGATAAAACCTATCTCAGGCACCAGAACTTACTGAACTCGAAGGGAGGGGGAGTGGGGGAAGGGATTCCGGTGTTCTGTTTTCTCAACCCTAAGTTCCGATCAAGTGTTGTTTTGTGCATAGGAGTCAAGTTCCTGGTCTCGGTCCCGACAGATGACAATGGTTTTAAGCTGTTGAGAGGGCAAGCAGGCGCCCGGAAGGGCAAATGACTGTCCACTTGGCTGGGCAGCCAGGACTAGAAACCTGTCTCCTGACACATGGCCACAGTGATTTGCCTTTTTTTTTTTTTTTTAACCTCATGTTGGATCATGTGGCTTTTCAAAAGGAAAGGGTGCCGGGCATGTGTGGGCAGGGGATTGCTGATGAACAAGGTCTTCTGCTATGTTCCTTTAGGGTGAATCTGTGCTAGACAACTTCAGCCTAAATGCAAACACTGCCTGGGCATAACACACAGATGTACCCTCCCCGCCACCCCCCCCATCACAGTGACAGATACAAGTTCAACAGAATGACAGGTGAATTACTCAGCAGAGAACAAAGCTCTGACAAAGAAAGAAGGGAGGGAGGGATGTGTTTGACAGGATAGAAGAACTTCATCACTAGAAGTATGGCTGACGGGGTCAACGTGGAAATCAAAGCACGCTCCCCTCACTGTGCAAGCTGGGCCAGCTTCTTCACTTCTCTATGCTCCAGTTTCTTCAGCGTTACTATATGGTACCAACCTCAGAAAGTTGTGTGAGAACAGTGCAGGCAAGTCAGTGTGGCCTGGCAGCAAGTCCTTGGGAAAGAGTGCCTAGTGTTGCAGTTATCCTGGCTAAAGTACCATGGGCCTGCTCTCATGAGCACCACCAGCTGGCTGTCCCAGGTTTCCAAGCGAGACATGTGCTCAGAAATCCTTATGGCATCCATGCCACCATTTCATAAGCACGAGGGCCCTGCATCATACTTTGATGAGGCATCACCATGCATAGAATAATGGAGAAATGCTTCAAGCAATTTCGCCAAGCCTGGGGCAGCTAGTTACTCAAGCGGAGAGGAAAATGAGAAGGTGCCAGAGTTGGAGGGAAAGGGATGTGGGCAGATTCAAAGTCTACCCTTTTATGTAGTAGAAGCTTCTTAGTCTGGCCACAGCCTGGGCCCACTAATGAATAGAATCATCAGATGAGGCCCTGAATGCAGCTGCAGCCTTTGGTCAAATGCAGCTTTAACTTGTCCGAATGTAGCTAATTTTAGCCAAGTTAAAAGGAGGTACGATGGGAAATGCGCGCAGCGCTAGATGAGTCCTTTCCAGAACATTCATCTCAGATTGGGCCAGCTGGAATGGATACAGCCTCAGCTGACCCAAGAGTCAGAGGCCATCCACTGGCCTCCCCACACTGCCCCCTCGCTCCCCTGAGGCCAGGCGAGAGAAAGCCACAGGCCCTGAGCCAGAAATAGATGGGGCTGTCTGTCAGCGGACACTACCCTCCCTCCATGAGTAATGAGCATGCTCCGGGCCCGGGGGAGCAGCTTAAAGCGCTTCGCTATTAATCTACGAAGGCTGACGCTACAGTGGAAGACACGAGGCAGGGCCGTGCAGGACGGCGTGAGTTTAAATGTGGCCGTGCAGACCACCTGGCTTTCTGAGCACGTAGCTACGTTTCCAGCCTGGAAGGCCTGTTACACTCAGATCTAATTCCCAACATGAGGAAATGTGACTTTTCATAATTTGAACAAGTCTCTCAAAGAACCTCACCTCCAGCTGAAGCACCATTCTCTCTCTCCGTTTTCCTCTCTCTCTCTCCTGGGGTGGGTTTGAATCCTAATTGAGAGCTCAGTTTGGAGAAGAACCCGAGAACCAATCCCTCAGGCTTCAATCTAAGCCTCTTACCCCAAGAGATGAGACAATTAAGAGGGGGGTGCGGTGTGGCGCTGCCAGAGTGGAGAGCAGGCTGAGCCGGGGGCAGGAGCCAGGCTGCTCTGGACAGAAACTCGACACCCTAACAAGGTGTGGATTTTTCTTTGTATGGCTGGTAACCAGTTTCATTGCACGGTACTGAGAGAACACGGATGGTACAATACTGATTCCTTGAACTATGTTGAGATTTCTTTGTGGGCATTTTATCCCCAGTCTCGTGCCATCTGAAGCTATTGGTGAAATCTGTGCTGCTTGTACATTTCAAATCTAAGTTAAAAGACAACTAGTTATGAGCAAGGTCTGCTGAGAATCAGGAACTGCCTCCTGGGAGCCACTGCAGGGTCAGGGCAGGCTCTGAGGGCTTGTAGCGCAGGCCCGTGGATGGGCACTTGGTTCCGTGCATTGCTGCCATGGTCTTGCCATGCTGAATAATATTTCAATGTGAGGTCTCATACGTGCATATCACAGTGGACCCACAAATTATGGATTCGATTCTGCCTGAGGTTCTGGGGGCTGGCTTCTGTGGCCATTTCAAAAGTGGAAGAAAAGTGGGAGAAAGGGAAGGAAGGAGAGGAGAGCAGGGGGTGGAGGAGAAGGCAAGGAGAGCCTCTCCCTCCCCTTCCCAGCACTGCCCCTCACGTCCTGGGACAGCCTCCTGCCCTCGCTTTCTGCACAGCTGCCCCAGGCTGTCCCATCCGGGTCTCAGCTCAAATGCCCTCCTCTCCCCGAGGCCTGCCTACCGACCCTGCAGGTCATCATGGCTTCATCCTCTGCCATCAGGACGCCAACTGTATTCCAGGTTCTTGTTGATCAGTTTGCACCCTTTTTCATTCTTTCTCTCAAGTTCCAAGATGGCAAGGAATAGACTGTTGCTCTTCTGCCTCTCTATTCTTCAGTAACTCAACAGGATGCTAACTCTGCCTTAGCTCAGCCAAGTTACTTAGTCTCTCTTCATCTACAGGATGAAGAATCATGATAACAAGAGGCAAGTGGGCAAGCCCAAACTCCTAGCACGATGTCTAGGGTGGAGCTGATGACAGGTAAGAGTTGAATGAATGAGTGAGTGGATGAATGAAGCTGATGACTGCTGAGCCCCAACGAGAACAAGATCTGGTGCCAGAGAGTCATCTGCTTTCACTCATTTCTCCATGTTAACCCACCTTACAGATGGAGAGACTGAGGCTCAGTGAGGTTGAATAATTTGCCAGAGAGCAGACTTGTAGAAATGCAGACCACACGCCTCCCCTGTGGCCCCCATGGCTCGCTGCAATAACCCATATGTGCAGCGTGGGCTTTCCAAGCCCAGCACACCTCTTCCATATACCTGCTGTGCTAGGGTCACGCCACACCTCACCGTGAAATGCAGGTGAGATCCCTCCCACCTTTAGGAACTGTGGGTCAGGCACTGTGTGAAAGCTAGAGAACACACAGGAGCCCAGCTGGAGGAAAAGTGATGGCCCCAAAGATGGGAGACTGTGGAGATGGGGTTCAGAAAACTGGGGTTCAGCTCAGATGCTTGTAGACCTAGGGGGCTGGAGCTCTGAACAGCCGAATCAGAAGTGGGAGGTGGGGGGTTAAGCAGAGAGGCTCATGGCCCAGAGTAGGGACAGGTCAAAGAAACTCCTATTAGGATGAGGGGGCAGGGTCCCCCAAGGCCCAAGAGGACCCCTCGTAAGCAGACAGTAGACTCATTTGGGGTGAAATAACTAAGATGGGCGGCTGTTAACTCCCATTATGGTGAATACAAACATTCTAGCGTTTCTCTTCACAGGAAAGCGAGCCCAGCAGCAAGTGGCTTACGAGGATGGAGCAAGTCCTGACTGGACACGGAGAAGACGTGGGGGGTGAGGGCAGGTGCGAGAGCCAGCTGTCCTCCTGCGTGAACATTTCATGGGGGTGTCTGCAGTGAGGGGTCTCCGAGCGGCCCTGCCCAGTCCAGGGTGGCATTGGGAGAGGCTGTGCCCACGTCCTGAAGTCCGTGCAGGACTCCCACAAACAAAATCCTAGCGAGGGCTCAGAGCTGGGGAGGCATGCGTGACTATCGCAGACGTTTTAGAAAATAAGGAAACAAAACCTTAGGTCACCTGGATCACCAACCCATGGCCTGAGCAGCGCTCTGCTGCCCCACCTCTTTCCTTGGCTCGGTGGGCAGCTCTGGTGGACAGCCAGTTCCTCCGGCTGGACCACATAGAAATGGCAGCTCTATGTCCCTCGCCATGCTTGTCATGCCCACACCTCCCACTGGCCAGCAGCTGACCCCTGCTGACCTCAGTAAGAGGAATCTGAGGGGCAAAGGTCAGAGGGGCAATGCATGCCCCGGCTTCCTGACTCCAGGAGCGATGAGGAGCCTCGGCGGGGGGATCTCCGCGCCCTGCCGTCTGGTATTCAAGGGTGCTGACTATAGCACAAACCATTCCCCACAGGGTGACGACAGCTGGGGAGGGGCTTGCTGGCCCAGGAGAGAGCGCCCGCTCAGCTCCCTGATCCTGACCAAAGCTAGGGAAGAAAACGTCTGCCCCAGGTGTCCAGTTCCAGTTGTCCAGGCCCAGGTGTCCAGGCCCGCTGGGCACAGAGCGGCTGCAGCAAGATGGGCAGCGGCAACCCCCATGGAAGTAACAGGCTGAGGCCAGGGGGCTGCTCTGGGGACCAGGTGCTACGGCCACTGCAGGGTGCAGCCTGGGCTGGCGTGCCCAGCTGGGGCACCTCAGACTCCGTCCAGCCGAACAGCCTGCCTCGGCCTAGGCAGCGGCTTGTCTTGTGAGGAAGGAGAGAAGCCCTCTAAGTGCTCTGCCAATCCCCAGTGGCCTCCTGCACCCTTGAATCAGCTGCTACTGTCCTGTGCCAACACAGCTACGTTCTTACATTGCGTCCTGTCCTGGGCACTGGCTCAGCCATCCATGTCCTGTTTGACCTTCGCTCACCACCTTCCGGCTAGGTGGTGGGCTGACCACCCCAGACTTCCAGGATAAAAGCGGTCAAATCTTACTCAGCAGCATCAGACCTCCTCTACAGATGAGTCAGGCCCGTGCCGGACATACACCTTGCCGGAGACCACATACTGGGTCCACTTGAATCTACTGACCCGGGTGGATTCCCCAAAGGCAGGCACCTCGGTGGGTAGCACGGAGCCATGAACACCAACCAGTAGCATCCTGTCTCTCCTCGCTAAGCCAGCCCACTCTCCCTCCCACCCCTTGCCCCCACAGATGAAACTCCAGATCTCCCAGCTCAAGAGTGGGAGCTCTGATCACAAAGACCACAGCACCCAGTCTCCCCGTGTGCAGCACCCTGCTGCGGCTCCCAGCCCCACCTGGCTCCTCGCAGCTTACCTCTCTGTGTCGCTGTCGCCAGACGCCACCTCTTCCAAGGCTGCCTGCAGGTCGGCAATCCGCCGGATGGAAGTCTCCAGGTCTGTCTGGAGGGTCTGTCTCACCGCTGCGAGCTCTTCCACGTACTTCTCCTGGAGACAGAGACAACAGTGCCTGTTGGCATTGGACAAGAACCCTCACTGACCTCTGGGAGGGACATGCCTGGGCTGAGCCGAACTAGTTCATTAAGCCCCCTGACATGGTTGGTGCCCCGTGAGAGGTGAGCTCTGTGGCTGGGACTACTGGGACCTCAGAGAAGCTCTGAAGTTACAGGGGAAATGGTTTGGGAGGCTCCAGGTCAAGCCACACCAGGCGTGCTGAACCCAGAAGGCCCAACCCGGCTTGCTAACTGCAATGCCAGGCTACCAGTGCCCAGTGGGCCCCGAGGACTCCAGGGCTGGGGGGTGAATGCACACACTGGCAAGGCTTCCCAGGCACTCAGGCCGGTGGTTCTGGAGGCTCAGTCTGTGCCCCGGGGGCGGGGGCGGGGGCGCAGGAGAACAGAAGGGCTTCCTTTCAGCTCCAACAGCTACTCTCCACCTTCCCATCCTCAAAGGCAGGAAAGGCAAAGTTAACAAACGCAAACAAGGTGGCTTTGTCGAGCACTTTCTGTGTCCGGTGCTGAGGGACTGTGCTGGCTCAGAGCATGCCTCGCAGCCTGGCACATGGATGGCTCTTCCTGCTCCCATTTCACAGATGAGCGGCCTGGGGGCGTGAAGGTCTAACGGAGTCACTGCAGCTCACGCTGGTGCATCTGCCTCTCTCATGTACGCCCTGCTCTCTCTGACATGGCCCTGGTCAGATTTTGTCCAGACTCTGGAAAATCTCTGGATTCCATGTGCAAGATATTTTACACCCACCCCGAATACAATGACTGTTAACAGAGGGTAGGTGTCCTCAGGGGACACTGGCTTGGGGTTGCTGCCAGTCTCTTGGGGTGCTGCTCAGCAGCCCACAGTGTACAGGACGAGAATCACCCAGCCCCAAGGTCAACTGCGCCCTCTCTGAAAAGCCCTGGGGTGAGCCTGGAATCCCATCCCTGGGGACAGATCCTACCAGGAATAAATCAAAAGGCACAACAGGGCTGTGATCTGAGGATGCTTTCAGCGGTGCCATTAGTGACACCAAGAGGCTGAAAGCCGCCTCATCGCCCAACGACTGGGAATGGCAGGAAGTCACAGCGTGTCTCCGGGATGCCACCGGGCAAACATTAACATCAGAAATAAGGATTGTGGCCGCGTGGAAAGCTTCTGTGAATAATGTTAAGCAAACGGAAAAGAACCGAGAAGTACCATGGCTGCATCTACATGCAAGCACTACACGTGGGCTTGGAAAAGCACTGGGAGCGTCGGGACTGCGCACGGGTGGGGCTTGAGGGGGGTTGTGGGCTTTTTTTAAAGTTGTTTGAATTATGTAAATTTTATGTTTCGACTGTAGTTTTCAGGAACACACACACATCAACAAGTGAGCGTGTGGAGAGCTGAAAATATAAGGACTTGGGTTAGATCTAAGTGAAGTTCGCAGCTGTCTACTTCACTCACTAGCTGTGAACCTAGAACTGCTCTCTGATAACATTTTTCTTTAGTTTGCTGGTGAGAAAAGACCCTCAGGGCAGAAAGGAGCAGAGCCTGGACTTGAGCCCTGGTCCATCCTGCCCCAGTGCAGTGATCTTCTGGGGCTCTCTGTGTACAGCCCTGAGGTGGTCAGTGCAGACCAGGGCTGCTGCCCACAGCATGTCCATTCACACTGTTGTAAGTCTCTACCTGTCGACTGATTTTGAGTCTTTTCCAATTTTAAAAAGACAGAGCGGCAAGCAGGGCCAGGTGGAGCCGGAGAGGCGGGCGGTGTGTGAGGGGCCAGTGGCAAGGGCGAGCTGACTGAAGCCGCCAGCTGTGGACATCTGTCCTGGGGCTGACAAGGGGCCCTGAGCAGGAGGCCGAGGACTGTCAGGAACTTCCGTATAAATGACTGTGGGATGCCAAGAGGGCTGCTTGCCCCAGGCTGCCAGCAGGGCAGCTCGTACACAGCCCCCCAAAATGGCTGGGTATAAAATCCCAGCAGCTTCCGGGAGCCTCTGCCCCAGCCCAGCTCCTTCCTAGTGCCTCTGGGAATCGGCCACCTTGTCTCTCAGGATGAGGCACACGTGTCTTTGGAAGACATGGAGGTTTTTCCTCAGAGCCATTCTAGGCATGTGGGGAAGCCCTGAGGCTTTCGAAATGACCTGGGAGACCTCAAAGTTGAGATGGAGACCCAGGTCTTGGGTTCCCTGGGGAAGAGATCTCTAGGCCACCTGCCGCGAGGGAGGAAGAGCACAGACGTCTCCACTTAGTTCACTGGAGCAGCACTGAGCAGATGACGGGGCTGTTTGCCTGGGGCCATGCTGTGCAGAGGGAAGTTGGGCCCCAAATCAGCCTCTGGGGGCCTGCTGGTGGGCAGAGAGCAGGCACGGTGGGCACTGTGTCGTAGGGCTGAGTGGCTGGGCTAAGCTGCTAGGCAGGCCAAATGGGGACCAAGATGGTCAAACCCACAATACACGAAAGCTGGTGTCTAGATGCCCAGGGTCAAATCCCAGCCCTACCACTCACTGGCTGTGTGGTCGTCAGCAAATTACACAACTTCTCTGAGTCCCATGGGTAAAATGCGTGGCTTAGTGGCCTCCCCGCACAGAGTTGTCGTGAGGACTGAGTGGGCTGGGCAGAAAGGAAAGGGTTCAGCAATGGTACAGCGCAATTGGTTAATTCTCTGAGGAGGGAAGGAGCACCGGACAGTTGTCCCCAAGGGGAGGTTTGTCAAGGTGACAAAGAGAAAAAGGAGATTGGGATGCGGGACCCTCATCCAAAACCTTTTCACTATCCTTCAGGGGAAAGAGCTGGCTGTACATCAAGGCAGCAGAGGCCTGAGTTGGCTAGACAGAGCGAGGAGAGTTGGGAGCAAGAAAACCATGGAGAGAAGAGGGGACGTGGGCCCAGGACTGGGTTCAGGGGGACTGCCACATGCACCACCCCGGCCCCCAGCCTTCACCACGGGCCTGGGCTCTCCATACCCCATCTTCCACCTGCCAGGGGAGTCACATCAGGCTCCATGGGAACACCCTAAGGAGACAATTTAGAAAATGTAGAGTCTTGTGTAATCAGCAATCAGCAAACCTTTCCTGCTTCAACTTGAAAACCAAATCGAGCCTGCTGATTGCAGAGACCAAGTCATTAGGCAAAATGGATGCGGTGCCCCAAACAGTCTCCCTGGGGCAGACAAAACAAGGTTCCAGCCAGAGACTGCTCAAGAGACATGGAGGGGCACCCCAGAGGGGCACACACAGGACAAGGAGGCATGAGGGACATGTTTCACCTCGGGACAGGGTGGCATGCTTCCTCCCACCCTCCAAGGTCTAGGAAGTGGGCCACAGTGACATCAAGGCGAAGGAGGCTGTGTGGGGCCCACTGTGAGCCTGGTTCTTTCTGTTACGATCTCTCTCTGGAGATCTGGAACATGGAGAAGCTGGGCAGAATGTCAGGAAGTAGACCTACTAGATTACAGGAGGCGTGCAGCAAAAGCTGACTAATAAATAGGTCATACATCAATATTAAATGTAGCTTCAGTGTAAAGGTGCATACATTGCAATGCCCTACAACCTATACTGATATACACATATTTCAGTATGTAACTTCATAGTTCAGTCATTCAATAAACATTTAGTGAGCACCTACTATGTGCCAACACTGACCTAGGCACAATGATACAGATAGATGATATCCCAACTTCCACAGACAGAGCTTACACTCTTGCAGTTACTTCATCGGTTGGTGTCTTGCTGGTGTCTGAAGCACAGCAGGTACTCGACATGGGGTTGAGTGAATGGTGCTCTTACATGGTCATAAGTGACGAAGGAAGGGTGTGGCTATTACGTGCACTTGGGAACACACACACACCCTCCATACAGAGATAAATAGACGTGTTGTATGAGAGCTTGCTGGTCTCCCCAGTTACCCTTAAGAGAATCATGAACCCTTGTTAAACTCCCAAGCTACGCCCCCTGAGCATGAAAACAGTCTTGGCAGAGTGGGAAACTGTTCATGTGATAATTAGGGGATACCACTAAGCTTATCTCCTGTTCTGATGTTTAATTAAAGGCTAATATTTAATACCTTTGTTTTCTCTGCCCAGGGCATCTTAATCTTCAGAGGGCCCTATTCCGTAAACAAACGCACAGGACAATCCTTGTCATTTCTGGTTTCTGGAGGTTGTTCTCTGACTTTCCAAGGTGCCCTCCAAGACTTCCCAAAGTTTATTTCACATAGTTCACATTATAGATCACACTATTTGGAAACAACCCCTCCTGCCCAAAAAAAAATGATCTATAAAAATTCATCTTATTATTTTCTTCTGATGCAGTAAAGATAAATAGGAAGTTCATATTACATATCCCGGTGCTTAAAAAATATGTATACATACATGCTATTTTATGGACATGTGTATATACATGGGTAATACATATACAAATATTCCCAGCTTGACACAAAGCACATACTTGTTGCATTAATTAATAAATAATAAATCTCCTACATGGACTCCCACTCTGCCAAATGTTTGAAATGCCTTCCCTCACATTTATAAGCACTCAGGGTCCAATCTGTATGATGTATGATATAAATACAGTAACTTAAGAATATTAAAAAGCAACAGCAGAGTATTATCTCTGTGTGTTGAGATAGCAGGTGATTTTTAGATTTCCCTTTTTATACTTTTAAAGATTTTCTGTGAAGAATAGGAATTACTTTTATTATCAGAAAGTTAAAAATACACATGCTTTTTCTCCTTTGACATTGTAGGAAGGAGTCAGCCCGCTGAGGGACCCGCTTGATGCATCCTAGGCAGCCTCTGCAGCCTCGACTCCCATTTCATGAGGAGCAGGCTGAGCCACAGAGAGGTTGAGCCACTTGCCCAGAAAGGTGAAGTCAGGACATGACTTAAGAGTTGGGCTCAGGGCTCCAGATCTTGGCCCACAGCTCTTTCCCCCACTTTGCTCCCCCCAAAGGGTGCCTGCATCCCCAGAAAGAAAGTTTATGAGGAACTGTGATTGTTCCAACTCATCCAC